AGGTGGCTCAGGCATCTTAGTCAGATAGAGGGCCTGTGAATCGCTGAACAAGCCCTCGGCAGTGCGCCTCTGCAAAAAGGAAATGCAGGGGAAGGCAAGGCCTAAAAGCCTTTGAGACCCTGAACCCTCATGTGCGACTGCAGCTGTCATCTGATGGTGTCAGCTGGCTATCTTGAGGTGTCGCTCGGCACCAGTTGGCGCAGGCTGTCGTCAAGGACAGCATCTAGTTTGGGGGTTTGTAGGGTCAGGGTTCGCATTGTTGAGGGTTTGAGGGTTTGACGAAGGAAGATAGGGTGCTCAGCCGGTAAAGGATCAGAGCCTCATACACGCTGATTTCTAAATATCACCGAACAAGAAGCATGCCCGAATCTTGAGCATGCCCTAACTCCAGTCCCTAACGACGGACATAAGACAGAAGGACCGAGCATAGACATGCGCAGCTGACGTTTTCCTGTAGCAGCGTAGCACACAACGCCTTTTTGTTGCATATATCCCAAGAGAGAATGCCTAACACATAAGCAAGTTAGGACTAAGGTTCTTATGCATGTAGGCTTGGGTTTTGCTGTTGCCATTAATAAATTAAAGAGCTTGAGTTTCAAGGCTTTCGGTTCTATTGTGAAGCTTCAAAGGCAGGGCTGAGGGCTGAGGTTTCCCAGACACTCAGCCTGCTGAGATAGTGTCTGCAAGGAGCTGGCAGCCCAATTTCGATGGCCGCATTTCTCACTTCGGCATGTTTCGTTCCCTGCTTTCGGTTTTGTTGTGTGTCGGTATACTGACGTTCCATACATTGTTGTACCGCTGTGACAGCATCGCTGTTGAACTACGGTTTCTGCTCATGTTGACATTTGGCGGTGTGATGATGTCAATGTCAATGATAAGTACCCATCTACATTTGGGGAGTTCTGGTGAAGCCTTCCGAAGCAGGACACATACCACGATGCTGCCGATCAGGTGGGCCGAGAGTGTCATCAGAGCAGCTAGGGAGCGCAAGAGCCCAGTCTAGAGGGTTTTTTTTTGAATGTTTGACTTTGGGGCTTTGGTTTAGGGCTTTAGGGTTCGGTTAGGGTTTAGGGTTTAGGGTTTTAGGGTTCGGTTAGGCTAGGATGTAAGATGGACAGGGCTGCAGGGTGGGGTTGGGCAGCTCAGGCGGAAGGGCAACGGGGTGCGTCTGCAAGGGCCACGACTCCCAACGTTATATACTTGAGGAGCACAGGAGGGTCTAACACCGCGGGGGAGTTTAGCGCTATCATAGAAGCAAGCGCTCCTCTATGCCAAGCAGCACAGGTACTATATACACAGACAGCCAATGCGTGCGATCACAAATAAACGGTTGGTGGCACAAGCGCAAATGCTCACCAAACTGCTGAAAAGTAACCTTTTCTTGGGTTACAGGTCATACAAGGCTGCAAGCTAGGCCGTTTAGCAACACGGGCAAAGCTTCAGCCCCGAGCAGGGGAGACCACACCGCTCTTAATTTTTTACCGCAGAGACACCCCGATCTCAGGTAATGTTTGTGATGCTTGTGACCAGCTCATTGCGAAAATTCTCCGAAGCCGCATCTCGCACCACGCCTTGCTAGGCAATCAAGCCAAGAGATCGGCGAAAAAGGCCCGGCTTAAGTGGGCTTACGATCAGTTGCTTCGAGAGCCCAGCGTCGATCATTCCAGGCTATGGGGTGCTGTTAAAAGGCAAAAGAGAGGCTCTCAAGGAAAACCACACCTCGACACACGAGGCGTTCAAAGACCAGTTGGAAAGCTAGCAATGGGATGCAATGGGCGGAATGGGAGATCCAGGATCGCCTGCCCCTCAGACCACCACAGCGTCACGAAGGGGAGTTTACCTTAGAAGACCTCCATGTTGCCGTCGCAAACATCAAGAGGACCGGGCGGCATACCAGCAGGGCTGTTCACCACGTTGGATGGGGACGGGGAGCTGGAACGGGTAGTCCTGCATAACCAAGTGCGGCATAACGGAGATGCGCGCGAACTACACGCAGGCAACAGTTGTCTCTCTTTCTAAAAGCAAAAGTGGAGACACGGAGCCAGCGAACTATCGTCCCATTTGGGAGTCTAAGCACCACTTGCAAATTGTACACCACAATGTTGCAACAGCGTTTGGCAGCCACCTCTGAATCACACCTCCGCCCGACACAGTTTGGGTTTAGAGTTTAGAGCCAAGAAGGGCGCCAAGAACCCACTCTTCATCTTACGCCACGCTATGGAACGGGCCGACATGGCAGATCATCCGCTCCATTTGTTATGGAAACAAGCGTTCGACTCGTTGGACCACGCCGCCATGACAGAAGAAAGGTTCGGTGCATCACATAAGATGCTCAGTAATATCATGACGACGTATGACAGCCCCACATTCCCAACTAAGGGAGTGATTGGTCGAACGGCGAAAGGAAAGGTGTCATCCCGTAGTTCGTCAGGGCTGCCCGTTGAGTTCAGACTTCTTTATGATGGTGCCCAACAGCCACTTTTCATGATCTCGACACGGACCTCTTGAGAAACGGCACACCTACCAACACCTGGCCACCGCAATGGCCGACGTACGATTTAGAACATGCCGATGACACCTTGTTACTCTCCCGGACCACGCTGCAATTCACCGCAAACATAGCAGCAGAGTATGTGCGCAGAACCTCAATGAAGGGAAACCGGAGGCCCTTCCGAACCAAATCTATCTTGCCGGGACGAGATCACCTTACCTTCAGCACCAATGCATATTTCCACCGCTTCCTCACACCAATCATCGGCAGCATCCTACTGCCCGAGCTACTGCCAGTCCGTTTGGGAACAGGCCTTCACACCACAACGCCCTCTGATCGCTTCCACCAAGCCCAACATAAGGTAACGAGACATTCTTGTGATTCACCCGTAGAAGATCCAGTGCACGCTGTTGTGTTTGCCTCTTGCCATAGGGATGATGGCGGGGACTGCAATTTCCATATTGGGTTGAAGTTGATTACAGCTAAACGTTATTACCCAGATCTGTTGGAACAGGCAATGCCCGAAACCCGCACGACGTTTGCTTCAAGACACCACGGGAGTTGCGAAAACCCAATTTCGAAACGGCGCCAAAGTGCGCCCGAAGAAATCGTGCGTGCACAAGGTCCTAGCAAAGAACACCAGCCCAAACCAAGCCGTGACAAAAAAAGAAAGTACCTGTCTTGGCGAGCTCGACAAGAGCATCATAGGGCCGCTTCTGTAGAACACCCTTTCTCGAGAAAGCAAGACACTAGACTGCCAATAGATAAAATCAAAAGCCAGGGGGCCATCTATCACCTCGTGGCATCTTACGGCTTGAAGTTTGAAATCGGTGACACTCCCTTCGACTTGGCCAAGCACCCGAGCTGGTCCAGAGGGTTCAGTGTTTAAGGTTTTAGAGTTTAGGGTCTGAGGGTCTTTTGAACAGGGCTTCGTGCATTGCTTAGTGCACTGCAGTCCCTGCTAAAAAAGAAGTCTCTTCGCAACATGGATCTGGGGTCCAGGGATCATCCGCGTTTCGGGTTGACATAGAATGTACTGCGGGCTGTCGGCAAGGGGGTGCTGTTGCCGTGAAAGTTTCGATTGTCAGATCGTTACCATGCGATACGATTCGTCGAATGTGGTAAAGATGCAGCTAAGGGAACAGCAACTGCCATGGTGGCCGGAAGTATCATGCCTTCACAGGGGTGCAAGAACCTTTCTGCAAGCCTTAAACTGCGCTAAGGCAAAAACTCAAAAGACGCAGTGAACCCTAAATCCCAAGACCCGCGAGCACTAAGGGGGTGCTAAGCTCCAGTTGATGCAGAATGAAGTGTTATCGTTCGGGGTGTAGGTCGTTATGGCGGATGCGGAGGGCTGCGGAAAAGGGACACGAATTAGGGTCTAGGACGCTGACACCTAGCATGTCCAAGTTGTAAGAGCGTAAACGTGACATAGAAACAGTGAACCTCAACAGCCCAGGCTTAAACTCAAACCTTAGACTCATCATCTGCCGAGATGCGGGGTGTGCTTCGTGAGCAAAGGCTTCAAGGTTTCGTCTGGAAATTTCGATGACCGAGGACGTAAACATAAGACTAGCATCAAGGGTTCAGGTTTGGGGTTTAATTGCTCCAAAAGATTGTGGAGCTTTAAGAACAAGGGCGGCTGTCAAGAGCTGCAGGGGCAGCAACCGCAGTTGCCCACATATCCACCTTGTGAACATCGCGCCTGAGGGTTTGCGCTTGCGGGGGCACCGAGGTGTCTTAGGGATGTTTTGGGATCTGGGCTGTGGGGTTCATGGTTTAGCATTTGGCCCCAAACCCGCATACACCCAAAGCCCGTGCTGAAAAGGGGTTTGGGCCCAAGGGTTCTGTGTGTTTTTTGGTTGGATTGCAGTGGAGATACATCCTGTGCAGACGCAACGAATGCAACAACGCGGCAAGGGCCCTACGTCGATATCAGGTCGCGCCAGCGCGTTTCCACAGACCCTGCCATTCGGTACAGTATTGCTTCCGTAGTCCGGTTCGCGTCAAGTGGTGAGAAAGAGTGACATCGCCAGGTCACGTCCGCTCTCCGTCTGGCTGCGATTGAACCCGAGACGGCGGCCAAGGCGCCACACGTGAGTCCCAAGTTCCTGCTAGGGGAGGCCCTGAGTTATTACAACTATTACAGCAAGCAGAGCACTGGCACAAGAATTCCGGTTACCAAGACTCGGCCAGTGTCCGAACTGGCGATCTGCCAGGGACCTGGCGTCACAGATCCTAAATATGATGCATATGAAACTTTAGCGCATGTCCTGGTGTGTTTTTGTTGGATTTAGCATTCGTCAGGGGGCGGATTTGACTTTTTTGTTGTGCCTCCAGTCTTGCGAGATGCGTTCTTCTGAAGAGCAAAAGTGCCCTGAGCGGATTGGTGTTCAGAGTCCAGGGTTGCAGTTAAGACAGAAAGCCAAGCATACGTCGCCACTGGGCTCAGTCATCGGGCTCCTCCCGCAACGTCTCAGCGACCATACGACCGCAAAGTGACAGCGCCATGGGCCGTCGCATAATGATCGCTTTCGACGGCAGTCGCGGAGACAACCAGCCATACCTGGTCCTGGCCAGAGACTTGATTCTCCAATCACACGACCTTGTCTTTTATTGGGATTTGTCCTTCGACTTCTGCAATTTTCACCCTTTGTTTGCCCTGTATCATGTACAACCTGAGCTCTGTACCCCCCCCCGAAAGTAGGATCCACTGAAAGCTGTACCGAGAACCAGCGGATTCTTCTTCAAAGAGGTTTCTGCATTGTTGGCCCTGAACCCCTAGAAGCAAGCTTTATGTGAATGTGAGAAGCGGAACCTGGAGCTTAACCCGCCTAGCCCTTGCGGGCATCATAGGGGAAGCAGTTCAGGCCCTTCCTAATAAACAGCACCCTAAACCCTTGATAAACATTGTAATAGGGATCCTCCTGCTACGGCCCCCAGGTTTGGCAATCACCTTAAACCCTTACTCCCGGGCCCCAAACCTTAAAACTTAAGCCGTGCATGAAGGAGAACTCATCCGTTCCGGATTTGACGTTCTGGCTCTGGGCTGTGAGGAGGCAACAGACCTGGCGGAAGCGTTCGGCGTCCCTTTCAAAGCGATTAATTGGTGCCAAAAGAAGACCTGCACTAACCAGAAGTTCGTTGACAGCATGAAGACTCAGAACTTTGGTCAGATGGCAGAGGTGCATCGCGAAGTTCGTCCAGAAGGCACTCCTTTTTCAAGAGCTTTTACTCCCTAAGCCCTAAACCCTAAACCCTAAACTCCTTCAAGAGCTTTTGCCGTTCCTTTGCGGGTTCCGTTTGGGGTTCCTCGGAGGTTCTGTAAGGGTTCCTATAAGGGCTCCTGTCCCGAAACCTCGCCTGACGTCGCCGAACCGGAATGCTATAAAGAAAAGGGTATTCAAAGGGCGGTTGAGGTTATAGGATTCTGGATCTGGGGTTTATATTTTGCAAGGTTTGGGGTAAATTAGGTGCCGCTCAGGCTGCGTTTTCAAGCAATGCGAGACAATCTATGAGGCAGCACTGCAGTTCAAGCCCGAGTTGCTTCTGCACACCTGGTCCACGGCCCTGAATATGTATGCCATAAGTGTGATTCTGCGGATGCTGGGTCCTTGTTGAAGAGCTTTTTTTAAATCTGCAAGTTGCGCAGGAATATATGGAAAACAGACTGTTTTGCTGTTCTACATGAGAGTCCAGGATTCCTCGCATCCACATCAGCCTGCAAACTGGACTTGTTGCCAGCAGCTCCCTCCCCTGTCCGCCGCTATCAACTCGGCCTGGGACTCGTGCAAGCCTGGGCTGGTATCCGGGCCCAGAAAGGCTTCAGGTTTAGGAGTTTCTGGAATCTCCCCTTGTAGCGGTCCCTGTACCCCGAAGGAAGGATCTTATGTCTATGTGCTTATGCCGGCCCTAAGGTATGCTTTGGCCACAGTCTTGTTGCGGCAGTGGAAGACGGAACAGGGACCTGTTTGGGAAAAGATCTTCCAAAGGCCGTTGGCTGATTTTGCGCCCGCCTTGCAAGACTACTTCGACATGATGGGCAATGACTCCAAGTTCTATCACGTGGTTACCGAGACATCATTGCACCGGGAGGTGCCAGCGGATTTCAGCAGCACCCTTAGTGTTTTTCTATAGGTGCACTGGGAGCGATGCCCGGGAATCATATTGAGGCCAACCACGACACCTTCATGTAGGTTTCAGGCTGAATTTTATTCCGAGCCCCTCAACCTCAAGTAGGGTTCATATCTCCCTACAGAGCGCTGCGTCAGGAAACCCTATATTGAACTATTCTTGAAGACCGTACAGAACCCTATGCTAGAATCTGTACACCCCCGCAGGAAACCCTGAAAGGAACTGGACACCCAAAAGAGCACTGAGGCAGCACCATCATCCGAGTCGGGCCGATGGTGGCCGAGAATGCCATGCAGGTCGGCCCTGAATTTGGATCCGACATGTCCAACGCAGTAGAAGACCCTGGGTTATGAGGGTTTTTGGTTTGAAAGGGCACTTGATAGGTGCTTTGTTCACACGGGCTTTTATGAATGAAGGTTTCCTAGAGTCAGCCTAGGGCCTAGAGTTTTTTTTGTTACAGGGTTTGTGACCACGGCTTCAGTTGCCACAATATACGCATACATTGAAAATCTCAATAATATGCTGTCCTCAAAAGGATATTTGCGGTTTAAAGCTCCTTCACAAGAAACAAGAAGCCCCAAACCCCTAAACCCGAAGGCCCTAAGCCCAGGACTTCTTAGCAGCTGGGGAGCCACCAGTCTACTTTGGCTTTGGCTCCATGATCGGCACAAGCTCCAAGTTCATGACCCTCCTGTGCCTGCGCGCTCTCCGCCTGACTGGCCTCCGGGGGGTTTGCTGTGCCGGGTGGTCGGAGATGTCGCTGGATCTGGTGGATGGGGAGCCGGATGCAGAAGAGCTTAAGTCTTACAGCCAGAAGCATGCTCTCTTTGTGAAGTATGCTCAACATGGATCGCTCTTCCCGCGCTGCTGCGTCATCGTCCACCACGGGGGCACGGGTACCACGAATGCCTCCCTGACGTCTGGAGTGCCGACGGTGATCCTCCCTGTCTGCTTCGACCAGTTTGCACATTCGGATGACATCAACGAGCTAGGCTGGCGGCCCAAAAGATTATCCGAGCGTAGGGATCTCTCAATTCTGCTCGACTAAAATTTTCCTTAAAAGTGGTCCTGATACCTCAAGAAGAGGATCCATATGTGAAATGATGGGGTTGTCTGGGCCCCTCTAGGCTGTGGAGTGGGCTTGGCAGCCATTCACAAGCTCGAGCCTTCCGATGTCTCCGAAGCGGTCTTGAAGTGTCTGCGGACGCCAGAGATCTGCAACAAAGCCAGGGAGGTAGCCACCATCATTGAGAAGGATCGGGGTTCTTTCGAACGAGCCCGAATGAACTTGAGCTCATATATCAAGTTACCACAGTAGAAAAAAGGTACGGTAGTATGGTCACGCAGCGGGAGTTTCCTAAGACTTTATGCGGGCCTTCTGAAGTTCCTTCGAAGCCGTTCAAAACAGCTTGCAGGAGAAGGACGAGGGCCCAAAAGACATGGTGGCCTTCCTGCAGATGTTCTTCAAGCAGTTCGTGGACACGGGAAGGCAGTTGAAGCTCCAGGACTCTAGCGCAAGAAGCCGCACACCCTAAATGCCTCCATGAACTCTAGACCTTCGCCTCTGGACTCTAAACTCGACAGGACTACTGGAGGGGCAGGTCCCGGAGCTGGCTCAGTTCACTGCTCTCTTGCCTCCCTTGCCCACGTTGAGCCCGAGACTTTGCATGCATGGCCTAATTCAACACGCGCAGGAACTCACTTTCAGCTACTCCCAGCCGTCCACCACGTGCCCAAGATGTCACCAAACCATGAACTCTTGATTGGTGAAGCTTCCTTCAAAGCCTTGAGCTCCAAATTGAAGCCGGAGCTCGGCAGTCGAACGAGAGTTCCGGACCACTGCCTCTCAAAATGCTGGGCACTGAAACTCCCAGATCCCCTCAAGGAGCAGTATCTGTTAGACTATGTTAGACTCCTAGAGAGTCTTCTGCCAACTTTCCCAGAGGGGATCCAGGTACCCTTTTTGCCCAGCAATCGCCGCGTCGTTGCTCCTGTTGCGGAGCGTGCTTGACTTTGGGATTCTTCTAATTAGGCGCACCGCACTTAGGCTTCCTGACAGGAAGGATTCTCTCGTGTTATCTTCTCAAGTTCCTATGTTGGAGGCAGCAAGACAGGGTGCGACGACAAGGATGTTCGGGTTAGGTACAGCAACGCACTGCCAGGTGCAATTGCTGCGTGATTCAGGATCTACAGAAGCTCGCAAACGCATGATTCCGGTTTTGGGGGTACCAGGGTCCCGAAGAGTGAGCAGCAGTAGTTCAGTTCCGACATGCTGCGGGCTTCTTGGGTTGCATGATGGCCACTTTTTTGCCTATCTCCCAAATAGGCCGAAGATCGGTCCAACTGTTTATATCGGTGGTTGCCCGCCTTGAGCACATATGCTTCGCTTGATGCAGCATCAGACTTTCTGTTCGTACCAGGACGCGTGAGGCGGAGCGCAAACGCATGTGCCAAGCCTTCGTGTAGGCTTTGTGTGGGCACTTCAACCGCTCTCAGTGTCTTGTCACCATCGAAACTCAGTTCAGCCATGCAGCTGGCAGAGGTCTCGCATGCTTTCTACCCTCCCGGCTTGCCAACTCACACCGCAATCGCTGCAATCATCCTTTGCAGGAAGCTTTCAAGGAACCTTCAAAACGAAGCTTCATGGAACCTTTGAAAGGGGCCTTGAAAGAAAGGAACCTTTCAAGGCAACTTTGAAAGGCACCCTATGAAGGAACCCGAAGCCCAGAAGACAGCCCTAAACCCTAAACAACCCTAAACCCTATAAACCCTAAACCCCTAAAACCCTACAAACCCTAAATCCCTATAAACCCACGAAGCCGCCGAAGAGTCGACTCCCAGGGCCCGGCTCCGCCGGAAGCCTCCGCTGCCACCCCGATCGATCTGAAGGCGGTTTCAGAGTTTCTTATGTTTTTTTTTTTTGGGGGTGGGGGGTGGGGGGTTGGGGGGGTTTGTGGCTTTGTTGGGGTGCGTTTTCGGTGGGTTCTAGGGCCTTGGGCTTCAGGGGCCTTCTTCATGCAGGGTCTGAGGGTCCAGGGAGGAGAGGTCCCGAGCTAAGGGCTCGGTAAGTGTGGCGGGTGGTGGGATGTGGCTTTCAGGGTTGAGGGTTTCGGGGACAGGTTTGCAAGCTGGCTTTCTGCTCCACTTTCTGCTTCTGAGGATGTAGTTGGCGTCCTTTCGAGCTCTCTCCGGGCCTTGCATCTTCTTTTTTTTTTCATTTTTCGATGCCGGGGCTCTATTTCTTTGATCACGTCATGGCATCAACAAGCCCTAAAAACCTTGTCCTGCCCCTAGTCGTCATGCCGCGAGGCCCATCGGACCTGAACCATGATGTGCCTATGTAGGACTATAGTACTACAGCGTTGTGCCATAGGGTTCGGGGCTGCTCTAGGGTGACCCCCACCCGCCGCAGGCTGCTCGCATGCCCATGCCAATGTTGCATTGCTGACTGACGGTGTGGCCCAGGTCCAGCTGACAAACGCGATGCGCCTGGCCTCAACAATTTCAAGGGCCTCCCACACCAAATTTCATGAAAGCGGCATCAATGTTGGAAGACCCAGGCAGTTAAGGGCTGAGGAACATGTGCAAGCTGCCTGAAGAACTTTCGTTCGTGTCATGCTGTTTACTACCTTTGCACGACGCCAAGACTTTGGAATGAAGCCTTATGAACCTTAACCTCAACTCCAGGGCGACTCGCAAAAGTCTCAAGATACCGTCGTGGACTGATGCGAATTCAGCAGTGCTGCAAGATAGTCTGCCAGAATCTCTTTGGCATGAGAGAGAGAGAGAGAGAGAGTGCGGAAACCCGAATGTCGAAACGGAACTCCGCATGCAGAGACCACTGTCGCTCAATCATAAACCTCGTAGTCAAGATCCTGAAGTCTTAAACAGCCGAATCTGCACACTGCAGGCGTGAGGGTGCTCAACGGAGCACCGGCATTTTTGCAATACGGGCCGAAGGATTAGGGTCCAGGGTCTAGGGTTTTGTGAGTGAAGTAAGCTTCAACATGTTTTGATACGTCGCTCCTCCCTATGTAACATAGAGGATACTGTAGCAGTTACTCTTAAGCTGGAGAGAAGAAGTGCCTCTTGAAGAGAAAAGCAGAGGTTCCAGCGGTTTCAACTTCTCCAGACTCAGTCCCTGATAGTAGCCTCATAATGCCCTGGTAGCAACGCTTCGAGCAGCCTAAGTCTCCCATAAAGCCGCCCCTGAAACTGCGACCCCTAGGGGCACTCAAGGAAAAGCCAGGGACCCAGAGGCCCCGGGTGGCGCCCTGAAACTCGCAAAGTTTTGAGGACCGGTGAAGAGATCTGCACGGTGAGTGCAAGCAGCCAGTGGACATTCTGACCGCAATGGAGGGGCAGGGGCTTGGGGTTGGTGGTAAGACGGTGGGACCGGGGTTTAGGGATTTGCAAAGAAGGGGTTGAGATCATGGTTGAAGACTTTCAGATTCAGGGCCCTGAGTGGGGGGGATATCAGGGATTCCAAGACGCCCGAAAAGGCCGTAGCAGGAGCCGTGGTTCGGGCTGGTAGGCTTGGGGGGCTGACTATGGCGCGGGACAGCACCGGGACGAGCCAAAAACCATGACAATTTCCAACTGCGGGTCTGAATGATGTGAAATACCTGATCCCTTGAGAACCCAATATAAAGAGTGCTCCAAAAACCTGCTCTTAGTGAGGACCGTGGATCACAAGCCCTGACCTGAACGCTCGCCTCTGAGTTCAGCATCCGCCCTGAAGATCTGCTACACATCATCTGATCATTATCTGTCATATTATTTCTATCCATACTACATGACAGCATAAAGCCAGAATCGCTCGTTTAAGGATTCTCTGATGAGAGCAAGGGCACTGTTTGCTGAAGGCGGCAGCTTCGAAACAGGCACACCAGGCCAATTCTCGCCGCTTTTCACGAGTATGAGTTCACTTGCTCTGCAACGTCTCGTCGTCCAACGGCCTAGAGCCCCAAAGGCCTGGAAACCTCAAAGAGCCACAAGCCTTGAACAGTCCCAAAGCCCCCTGAAAAGTCCTAAAGCACTGCAGCAACGCCCCCCAAACCCCAAACCCCAATACCCTAAACCCCAAAACCTCTAAATCCTAAACCCTAAAACCCCTAAACCCCAAAACCCCAAAACCCGAAAAGGACCATCGCCCTCCTGGCCCGCGCCGCGGCCTCCCAGGCGCCATCTTCAGGCCTACGGGGGGGGACAGAGGTTTAGGGGTTCTCAGCCAGCATTTTGCGGGCCCATTGAGCTAGCTTGTGGGATTTTTTTTATTTTCGCTCCCTTTTCGGGCTTTTTTCGTAGGATCTTCAGAGCCTTGGTTGGGCAGGAGGGAGTTGGAGTTTTTGTTGCGGCTTCCCGGGTTCGGGTGTTCGGGTGTCAGGGGTTGAGGGATCAGGGCAAAGGTGTTCACGGTTAGCGAGGATTTGGGGATAACTATTTCAGGTTGTTGCTTCTTGCTACGATGGAAACGGTCCTAATGCTCCGGAGATGGTGGTGATGGTGACGGAGGTGATGTAAATGCTGCCTCTTATCAATTTTTGATGAGGTGGTTTTTTACGAGTGAGGACTCGGAGAACCATCGCCCTCCAGCTCTTGCCTTATGGGAGTTGCCTACACCCTGAAGTCCCTGACGTCCCAACTTTGCGAGTCTGCCCAGCTCGCATGTCATGAAGGTGGTAGAGCAGCCATCAGGTGGTTTGAATATTCAACAGCACGATTCCTAAGGGTTCCTTAATGTGTTTATACTGTTTATACTGGTTTATACTATACTATACTATACTACACTATACTACACTGCACTAAACTATACTATACTATACTATGCTATACTATGCTATGCTATACCATACTATACTATGCTATACTATACTGTACTATGTTATGCTCCACTCTACCCTGCCCTGCTCTACTCTACTCTATCGTAGTCTACTATACGATACTATACTGTACCATACCATACATACCAAAACCTCTTATTATGGCCCCTCTATTACGCAGGCGGCTGCCGCATCTTCCTGAAGGGCGCGGCGGCACTGACGGCAGGGACTGTGCTCGCCGACCTCCAGGAGTCGTGACTCTTAGAATTCGGAGTTGGGGGTTTAGGGTTTAGGGTTGGCCAGGTTCAGTATGGGTTGTGGAATAGTTGGAAATACGATGCCTTCGGGTATCTTGCTAAAAAGTTACATGGTGATAGCAGAGTGTACCTGAAAAGCTTGTTCCAATGGAGGCCCCTACATCGCGAGTCTTCGGATTCAAGGATCTTGGGACCTGACCTACGTTTTCAACATGCAAAGCTTTTTCAAGGCAGAAGTTTTTGGGACTCATCCGCGAAGGTTCGCGAATGCCCGACATGTGGCTTATACTCCATTCCTGCATTGTGAGTTTCACACAGGCAACCTCCACGAACTGTATGCGTCCTGAACGTGCTGGAACGATTCTAGTCAGGTGTTCGAGGAAAGATGTCAGGAGTTTGGCACTAGGCTTCGGAACGTGAACAGTTGGGGTGCCTCCCACCAAACTTTCAGTTCGCAAACCTGTACGAAACTTCATGCATCCTCCGTCGACAGTTGCAATAGATGCGGTGCAGCAGCCTTTGCCAAGACACTGTCACCGTGGCTCGCTCATGTTTCTCTAAGGCTTTCTTTCGCTTGCTACCCCTCACCCCTCTCCCCTACGCCGTAAACCCGAAACACGCTCAGCCGCGTGTGAGTGCGAGAGGCAAAACCATTCAAGCCTAAACTCCTCTCGTATTGAGAAAGGAGGATGCCGAGGAAACCATCCAGCTATCTACCCTGGTGTGACCCGGCACGGGTTTGCTGGGAGTTTGCTCTACAGGTTCGGGGTTCAGGGCGACGGACATAGTGAGACAGACACAAGGACAGGTGCAGAGTCATGGAGAGAGCAAGACAAGACAGAGATAGAAAGAGAGATAGCCGTAGCCACTTTTGCTCAGTTACTTGACAAGAACTTGAACGAATAGTGGGATCCGCTGGGTGACTCCGGTGACATCCCCGCTCGCCCGGCGCTTGGCCATCCAACCACTACCAGGGCTTTTGGCATTGGCCGTACTGGTGTGACGCAGATGTGTCTCCTGCGTTCCCTTGGCAACAAACGTGCAAGAGTTTGGCATTTGGGGTATTTTTTTGGGATCTTGGAGCAACTGCTGAACCAGGAAGACGGTTTGGCCAAGAGGAGGCTCTACAAATCCACAAGGAACGAAAGACAGCAATCCAGCAGCAGCTCTGCCGCCAGCTGTGCATCCAGCTCGCGGCAGCTTTAGCAGACGAGCTGAACATGATGAGGGTGACATTGGAGATTGAAGCTCTAGACAGGGCTCAACTTTGGGCAGTGCGCGAGGAGGATTCTCGGGCAGCTCATGCAAGCAGTTCGCTGTATGGTCCGCAACGCGTGAGCAGGCAGGTGAAGTAGGCGAGCTTTGCAAGCCAGTCGTGGGACACAAATTTAGTGTGGGACAAAGTTTCTTCCATCCTCGTGCAACTCGATCCGTTCAACGACCAAGGCACCTAACAACAAGGACGGGGCCGAATGTGCTGAGAGTGCCATGTGCGCGAATTTCGCTAACTATCCAAGTGGTGTGCTCTCCCCAGCAAAAGCTGGAGAGGGGGTTAATTCAGGCCATTCCTCTTTGCCGCCGGGCCCACAATAAGCCATGTTCAGGGAACCGTGCGTCTGGTTCTTCTGCTTGTGTTGTTGCTTCGTTTGTGCTCGCAATTATCGTTCATGCACACGGGTCCATGCGCAACCGAGCCCACCCATCAAAATGGATGGGGCAGCGCGACTGCCCGGGTTGAGGGGGTTGCCCTCAACTCATACCGAACGTCAGATAGTGCTCATGCGCGCGCGCGCGCGGGGAAACTGTGCGTGCGCTGTCCCTGCGCCGTGCGAAAGGAGAGGGAGGCAGAGAGAGATTGCGGAAGCGGGGCCCTGGTCGTCGGGGCCCTTCCCTCATGCCCTGAGCAAGAAGAAGAATAGGAAGAGAGAGAGAGAGAGCGAGAGAGAGAGAGAGAGAGGGAGCGAGCGAAATAGAGAGGACGAAAGAGCAATGGACTGAAAGCCTAGGGTTTGCCTAGATGTGAGCGAATTGAGAGGCTTCGAAGCTCTAGCTTCGAACCTGCTTAGTCTGTAGCTTGTCAGGACCGTAGGGTAATGTGGTGATGATAGTGGCGGTGATGGTAAAGGAGATGAAGATGATGACGGCGACCGTCCTTGTGTGACGAGACGAGTAGGGGTTTGTTGAAGTGTGGTTGGCATCGCTCTCAGACTCCTGGTGGAGCAAGATCAAGCCACGAGGCCCGATTCCTCTGCTTGTGTCTTTGCTACTTACAACTTACAACCCGAAACCTGCGAGCCCAAAGCCCTGAGCTCGGACGTCGTGAGGCCATGCCTGCCTGGAGCCAGTGTGTGAGTCGAAAGCTGTGAGCTGCAGTACCCAAGACCGGCCGAAACCTGAAACCTTACATCGCTAGGGGGATGCAACGAAACTCAGACCTAGATCCTCAACATCCTGAGCTCTAGAGCCGAAAACGCCTAAGCTCCACACCATGCTGTCAAAACAGAAAGCCGAACTGTGGAGCCTAAAACTCCATGCGCCCGTAGCCAACACTCTCCAGTGAAACGTGCCGCTCAGGCTGAGCGCAGTTGACGGGGTCTACACGGCGAGGATCAAGCTAGGTGCGTGCTCAACCGAGCGAGCTTCAAGACTTCACTCTAACCAATATGCTTGAAGAAAGATTTGGGGTTTGCAGGGGTGCTCGGGGTCTGGATTTGGAAAGGTACTTAGGATCAAGAAATGCGCCTCATTGAGGGTTTGGGGGTTACGGAAAGACTCAGAACCGCGCAGTTCCTTCACCCCGCGGTCCTCGAGAGCCTGGCTTTGATCTCGAGTTGTGAGGGCCCAACTCCAGTAGTGGATCATGCGGCCGTGGAGTTGCAGGGTTTAAGGCTCAGGGCTTCAACTTTTGCGACTTGAAATTGTCATCCATACCTTCTTGCAGTAGCCGGGGCCCCAACCCCAAAAAAATGCTGGGGCGTGGAGGGTTTTTGGCAGGGGAGAGCCCGGGCCTCTTGGAGCTTAGGGCTCCAGATGGGGGGACTTGGGGGAGACACACAAATTCGCAGGAGTATTGCAGGCATAGCAACAGTTAAAACCCAGGGCTCGATGCCCAGGGCTCGATGTGTTCAAAAGCCCTGACCGCCCCAACAAAAACTGAGACAGCCTCGAGCAATCGAGCAACCCATCCTGGGTCCTAAACCACACTCCGAATGCAGGGGAATTCGAGGAGCAGGATTTCGCTGGGGGCCTGAGACCGGGCCGCTTGCACCTGATCGGTGGCCGCGGCAGGGGTCGCGATCCGCCGGCCCGGGTCGGTCCCATGGCGGCTCTTTTTTCGCTGTTGTGAGGGGTCCAGGGCTGCAGGGGGGCGAACGAATACAGGACGTCGTTTCGCGTCTTGTGGGGTGGTTTGTTTTCGGGGCTTGCTTTTCTCCCATAGTCAGTACACTTTATGGAAGTCGAATTTTAAGCGTTCGGGGGTTGCCAGAAAACGGCATAGTTTCATGTCGAGCCGGACAGAGAGAAAGCTACCAGTATTAGTACTAGTTACTAGTCTTTATATGACCGTTAAAGTCATATCATGGTTAGTATTCAAATTAGTACCAGTATTCATATTACTGCGAGAAATCGCATGACGGGTAGAATTCGTCTTCATAGTACATAGTGTTAATATTCGTATTCATATTATTACATGACTCTTAGTCTCTTCTGGGGCTTCGACCAAGGCCTGAAGCTTCACAAGGATGGGATGGTCGAGTTCGTCTACGAGAAGCGGCCCTTCGACCGAGGCCCGCGAGCTCCGTCTTTTTTTGCAGGTTTTTGGATGGGTTTAGGGTTTCGGGTCTAGGGTTTAGGGTCCAGGGGTATTTTGGGGTTTTGGCCCTTTGGGGGGCGAGTTTGGGGCTTTAGGGCATTGCTGCTGTCAGGTTTCGGGCAGTGCGAACTGTCATCGTTCTTGTTCTCAGAAGTGCGATCCTTACTGCAGGGTGGATGTTGACTTCTCGATGGTAGGCCATTGCGCGCCGGATTCTGGCGGACGGTACGTGTATGCCAAGGGCAAATGGCCACTCTGACTGCTAAGGCTTAAGGGCTTAAGGGTTTCAAATCGCCTGGCCGAGGCTTTCGGGGGAGTTGTGTAGGATCTCGTTCATCATCTGGGACGGGTACCGAAGCCTTAAGCTTAAACACGAGTTCAACCAAGACAAGCTGGCTAGTGCTAGGTCTTGACAGCTTTGTTAAAGAGCCCAGGACGTACAGCGTTCCTGGTGTGGAGGCTTCTTGGCGACCGCATGGCTCAGAAGAAAGAACAGCACCTCAATGCTCACCCTACAGCTTGGCTGAGGGGAAATATAGAGGCGCAGAGGTTTTGGTGCAGACCGCCCCATCTGTGTCGTTTTGAATCTCATCATAGTAGCATGGTTTGCTGCAGAAGCAGTAGTAGTGATCGTGTTCATAGTCGTGAGGAAAGCAAGGCATGACATGGTGACCTGCACCCCGGAAGCCCCTGAGACCATTCGAAGTTCAAGCTTAACCTCAAAGCCATCGTCTTCGAGGTCGTCCTGACTCAGGGCACCGAAGGAACCTTTATCCGAGGCAGGTCCCATGGGTTTCTGTTGAAAGCGTGGAACCTTCTCGAT